TATAAACCTTGGGCCAGTGACTTCTCTTAAGCCTGTTTCCTCATCTCTAAGATGAGGGTAAATGAACTGGGATAATGGATAATCAAGTGTGTGGCTCAGCACTTGTACTTAGTAGGGGGCTCAATAAACCTTCCCACCCATTGTACCAGAAAATTAATTTCCAATTCATGGCTGGAAAACTTGAGCAAATCCCAGAATGGGGTTCAGTTTCTTCTGACCCACATGCTATGAGGGCAGTGAAATCTTGCTGGGAGGGTCTCTGTGTGTACTGTGGGGCTGTTTAAAAACTGCACCTGCTAGTTTACTGGTGTCACACAGCACCACCTAGTGCCCAAAAGTGTAAAGGCCCTCCTGCCTGCCTCACCCTGCTTGGCCTCCCTTCCCAGGGCCTGTGTGTGTGTGTGTGTGTGAGAGAGAGAGAGAGAGAGAGAGAGAGAGAGAGAGAGAGAGAGTTGGGGGACACTGTTATAGGATGGTACAGCTGGGCCACTCATAGCTTTATATCCCAGTTAGTGGAGAACTAATGCTATTTTTCAAGATGCCTAGTCCCTCCACTTCCTTCCGACACAAATGCAGAGGACTGTAGGAAGGTCCTTTGAGCTTCACTGGGCCATAGTTTCCTCATCTAAGGATTTCAAGGTTTTAGGATAGGGTTGTTTCAGGCAAGGTGTCTGGTAAGTGCCTGATGCCTCTGGGTACCCACCTATGCTTGCTCAATAACCCAGACAGTCACTGTCTTTACACACCCTTTATATTTTTATTGAGGAGAAAGCTTTAGCATATAGAATGATTTCTTATCTTCACAACACAGTAATGCAACAATAACACATTTATTTCCAACCCACTTTCTCCCGAGTCTCTGGGAATCCTTGGGCTGCTTTCATACCCCTGCATGCGTTTTCCCCCACCCCGCTTTCAACCCAAGAAAGTGCCCATAACCCATAGTTTCTCTTACAGTTCTTGTGGCTATCACATCACAACAATATTAAAGATCTGGGAAAGGGGGGAAGAGGGTCAAAGGGGAACCCAGGTCCCCTTGCCTTCAGAGGCCCAGGAACCAGCTCACTGCTCACCCACTCTTTCCCCGGCTAAGACTACAAGGTCTCAGGGTGAGAAGCACCATAGGAACAGTCAGAGCCTGTGTTGAGGAGTCCCTGGATGTGGGGGTGCAAGGCACCTGTCCTTTGCACTTCTCTGGCAGGGACATGAGCAGTAGGGCCATTGTGTTGACCATCAGCAAACAGGGTCGACAGCCTCGAAGAACAGTAGTTCCCCTTCTGGAACTCTCTCCTGAGGAAATAGCTGAAAAACAGACAAAATTTTCTTTACAGTGTTGTTCACTCCTGCACTGGTGGGGATGGGGAAAACCAGGTTACTGAAATATCCAATGAATTAGGAGAATACCTCAATTATTCAGTGTGCATGACTGACTGCATAGGTGGCAGCCATTTTAAATCCTGCTGATCATGAGCTTGCAGGATGATCTCCGCTTTGAAAAGACATACTGAAAACACACTAGAAAGAAAGGCAGCAAATAGTACTTGCGTCTGTGTGGTGGGGTTCTGAATGTTTGGGATTTTTTTTGTGTCCTTATAGTTTTCTCTATTTTCTACATTTTCTATAATGATTATGCATTACTTTTCTCTTTGGAGGAGGAGGAAGCCTTTTTAAAAGGTAGCAACAGGTTATAAGAACCTGGCTCCCCTGGTCCCCAGGCTGAGAAATTTATGATAAACAAAACGGCTTCTTACCTTCTGCTGATGAGTAGAGACCTCACCAGCAACCAGCAGCGAACTGGTCATCCTCCAGCTCCTTCCTCTTGCTTCCAGGCTCAAAATTCTAAGGCTGGGGTGAGGCTATCTACCAGACTCCAGTGAGGAACAGAGGCTTGATTTACTCTGCTCTATTCCCTCTGACTACAGACACTTTGATTGCGCTTGCCCAGCTGCCAGGCTCAGTGTCAAGGGCAGTTCAGGCCAGCAGTGGATTTGCCTAGAATTCTGTGGCCAGTGACAGTTTCTGGACCCATTGCAAGCAGCAGGACTCTTTATAAGGGTCCCTAGGTTTGTACCCAGAAGTCCCAGGAGTTACTAGGAGGCAGTCGGCAGTCACCCTCTCCAGCCTTACCATCTAATCGAAGCCCAGCATCAGGCTATGGCTTGCCCCCCATGTGAGAGACGTGAGGATGGCCTGGCTGACAGGCTACAGTCTCTGTAGAGAGAAACTTCTTCTCTCTTCTGAGAACTACCGAATCCTTTAAGTTGAAATTAAAGAGCAGGCCTTGGGCCCTCTCTGTCATTGGTAGTCCGGGAAGGAAAGGCCAGTTAGGCCTTCTATGAACCCCCAAAGATGGCAAGTCTCCTGCAAAGACCTTTGGCTGGGGGTTGCAGTCCAAGACCTGGCCTGGGGAGGAGACCGCCATCCCTAAGGAAAGAGTCACTCCTCACAATGTCAAACTGAGTTGTTGCTGCTTTTTTCTCCTCTTCTTCCACCTCCCCCATTTTCCAGGCAACACCAAGGAAAGGGGTAACACTGGGTTCTGTCCACCAGGGATGCCCGGGAGGGCAGTGTGGTAAGAAGAAAGGGCCCCAGATTTGGTGAGCTTGTCCAAGGACCCTGATACAGTAGTCTGTGGGAAGGTTGAACTAGCTTGCTCAGCCACCAAGGACAAACCTCAGTGAAATGTCCATTTGACAAGTAGCTTTGCCCATCCTCACTAGACTACATGTAGGATCCTCTTTGAGCCCTTCTGCTGGAGGATGAACCAAGTGTAGGCTTCTAGGCACATTTATGGATCCCATCCTGCTCTCTGTCGATTATATCTAGTAAATGTCCTCAGGAGTTCAGTGTAGCCCATCCTTTCACTTATTGGGGCAGATTATTGAGGTATTGGGTGAAGCTCTGGTGAGCCAGTCAGAGTTGATAAAACCATAGAACACAGGGTTAGGAACAATTAGAGGGGAAATGCAAGGGGGTGACCAGTTCATTTACGGGAATAGGCCCAGAAACCTGCTCACTAGCTTGTGGTAGGACTGTGCAGAGCGCATAGTCAAGAGGACAGCTATTGCTGACCCCTCCTTTCCCAAGTGGTCATGGCTGCAAGATGGTCTGGCGTTCTACAGGTCTTCTTCAGGTTCTTCAGGTCTAGAACTCCCTTAAGTACTAGTCAGAAAAGGGGGCAAGGTGTGGCAGCAATAGCAAGGACAGGGGACGCAGTGGAAGGGTGTGTTCTGGGTGGCCATCCCCCCCAGCACTCACACGCGAATTCGGCCACGTGCAGCCCGATGGCCTCCCTGTCTTGGAGTGAGGCGGAATAGTACTGGGGGCCGTCTTCGAGTTTGGCGTTGCACCAACCGACCTGCCCTGCGAATCAGTGGTGGTGAACTGTAGAAGGGTGAATTGGTACCTGGAAGGCCCTCCAGCAGTGGGACTCGATTCTGGTTCCTCCGTCTGCTGGCCTGTATTATGGGAGGTGATGTATCTAGGAAATTTTCATGATAGAAGCCAGGAGTCTGGGATGAAGCATTGGCATAGGTCGGCATCACGTCCATGAACTCATCTAGGTCATCATCCTGGGCCTCATCCTCTGTCTCTTCCTCGGGTTCTGGCTCCTGCTCTGGCTCCTGCCCTGGTTCCTGGCCCTTATCCTCATCCTTTTTCTCACCCTCATTATTCTTCCTCATTTCTTCCTCTTTCTCATCTATATCATCCACCACGATCTCGTCTTCATTGTCGTTGTCCTCCTCCTGGTTCTGTTTTATCTCCTCCTTCCTCATCTCTTCCTCCTTTTTCCTCTTTTCCTCCTGCTCCCTCATCTCTTGCTGAATAGCTCTCACACACCTCCGCTGGTCCTTGAGAAGCCTGAGCGTGTGCACCTCTGCATCTTCATCCTCACTGTAGCGCTCTTCTCCACTGCCCTCGACATTAGGGTCTGCAGCAAAAGGGAAGAAGATATTGCGAACCCCAGGGAGTGGGATTGGCTTAGGGACACCCACTTTTCTTTCTATCTCCACACATTCAAGAATCAGCTCATCCAGGTCGGCCATTTCAGTTGACCATAAGAGCTCCTTGCGGAAGAATTCTGAAAGGCCTTTGAGGAACTGGTTTTGAAGGCGGCAGTCATCCCAAGATAAGAATTGGGCCAGGAACTGAAAAGCATCTGCATAGCTGCCTAGGGTACAGTTTCCCTGCATAAGCTTGCGGATGGCCTTTTTCGCCACACTTGGGGGGATAGGGCCACAGAATTTCTTACGGATTTCATCCAGGAAGCGCGGGATGTTGGCATGTAGGGGGCTTCCTTCCTGGGTGACTGAGATGGCCCAGTCCTTGGCGTTACCAGTGAAAAAGGAAATCAGAAAGGCCACCTGCTCAGCACCCCCAGGGAAATGATCCTCGTGGTCGGCTATGAAGGTCTCTAGCCGCATCAGGAATTCAGGCAGGTAGACCGGGTCGCCTGAAAAGGGCTCTAGCTCAGGCCACTCCAGAGGCAGCATAGGAGGCTGCGGGGGCAGTTCCTTGGAGGCGGGCAGGGGCAGCGCCGGCGGCGGGGGCGGGCTGGGCTGTGGGGGAGGGTCGACCTGGCCTTCTGAGGTGCCGCAGTCCTGGGTGGCGTTGACCAACAGCTCCTCTGAGGCGCGCTCGGGCTCCGTGCGTGGGGGAGGCCAGCGCATGAAGGGCAGTTCGCCCTCGGGCACGGAGTCTATCTCGCTGAGCGGGAACTCAAAGTTCTCCTCCGCTAGGACCGGCACTGGCCAGCGCACAAAGCTGGAGACATTGCCCCGCAAGGAATTCACCTCAGCCAGGGCTCTTCCGAGCTGAAGGCCCAAATTGGCATTCTCCCCGCGAAGGGCATTTAATTCTTCTCGCAGGGCCACGTTCGCCATGCGTAGGCTATTGAGGTTTCCTGACGCCTCGGACATCTGGACTCGCCCGGAGCCCTGGGTCCGCGGGCGGGGTAGGGATGCGGGGTAGAGAGCTAGGCACTCGGAAAGGAGGCCGAAATGCGGAGGGGCACGGAAAGGGAGCCGTGGGTGCGGGGTAGGCCCGAGCCACACCCACCGGGGCGAGCACGGCTGGCGGACGGGCGCTGCGAGGCGCAAAAGCCTGGCGGCGGGGCTTGGTGTCGCGTTACCTGGTCA